AAAAAAAAAAAAAAAAAAAAAAAAAAAAAAAAAAAAAGGTAGAGCGTATATTCAAAGTGGATAACCAAAATAAATAAATAAATAAAGTGGATAACCAACAAGGTCCTACTGTACAGCACAAGGAACTCTACTCAATGTTATGTGGCGGCCTGGATGGGAGGGGAGTTTCAGGGAGAATGGATACATGTATACATATGGCTGAGTTGCTCTGCTATGCACCTCAAACTACCACAAAACTGTTAATCAGTTATACTTCCATAGAAAATAAAAAGTTAAAAAAAAAAAAAAAGCATAACATAACTACCACAATTTAATCTTTCCCTTAGAGCCCTGGGCGGTCTAGCAAGGCCATGTTTATAAGTGTGAAGGTCAGTGATCTGCAGACATCTGTGGCTAGGTCTGGACTTGGATAAGACTATGAAGGAAGCCAGGTTTTCCTCAGCGCCTCACCCCTCTCACCTCTTCTGTCTGGGCTCTCTGGCCCTCTTCAGATACCTCTCCTGCCTCACAGCAGTCCATCAAGACTATAAGCACCATGTAACTGAGACATTTTCTTCCGTTCCTCTGAATGCCATCAAATGTTTGAGAGAGAAAGGATCTTGGAAACCAAATGTTCCAGATTTACAGCTGAGAAAACACATCCTCAGAGAAGTTGTAAAGTGACCTGAAGGCCAGAGGCTAGGCCCCGGGGTCAGGACTCCCTCCACACCTCCGCTGCCCTCACGGGTGCACTGCCAGATAACACGTCCAACAGATCTGGCTCCAGGGACAATGGCTAACCGACATCAACCCAACAGTAACAGGAAAGGGACGCAGGCAGCACAGCAGGCCTGAGACCAAGGCCGGGGGCAAGTTTTAATAGACATGGATCACACCAAGGTGAAAGCCACCTTGTCTGACCTCCTGACAGGTGAATTCTCAAGTACACACAAGTCGCCATGTACCTGTAAACAGCCTTCTGATGGGATGTCAATTTCTTGTCAGCTCAGTTTTTAAACCGTTACCTTAATATTTAGCTTTTAATATTTTCTAGCTCCTAAAAGCCAAGATTTAAACATCCCTAAAATTAATACCCAGATGCAAAGAGTCGAACACGACCGAGTGACTGAACTGGAACTGGAAAATTAACACATTACAAAATTTTACATTATATTCAAATTACGATTTGTCTTCCCCCAAGTAAAGCTTCCTTTTAAATAAAACTGATATTTCACTTTTGCTTTGCTTCCATCAGCAACAAATGACTTTTTTTGAGAAAGCACCTTTCTTAGATTTATGTCTGCTACACAAATTCTCTCATGATACTGATTTTCTGCAAGTATTAAAAACAAGGCACATTTGCCTAAGGTTGGAAGACAATTTTCAAATATGTTGTAACTTTAAATAACATCTAGAAAACGACAGTAACTCTTGTTGCAGTCCTATGCAAGTGACAGCTGTGGTTAATGACATATAGGATTTCATCTTAACCCTTAACAGTGCACATTCATATTTTCTTACTGCTTTAAGCAAAGCAAAATGAAACAAAAGAGATAAAGATCACTCCTAGAAGTAATAATATTCTAAAGTGAAAGTGTTAGTTGCTTAGTTGTGTCCAACTCTTTCTGACCCCATGGACTGTAGCCCACCAGGCTTCTCTGACCATGGGATTTCCCAGGCAAGAATACTGGAGTGGATTGCCATTTCCTTCTCCAGGGGCTCTTCCCAACCCAGGAATCAAACACAGGTCTCCTGCATTGCAGATGGATTCTTTACCGTATCAGCCACCAGGGAAGCCCAATAATATAGTCTAACGTCTTGTTCACTTTACATGCATGGAAGGCAACTTAAAAGACATTGAATTCAACTGACTGTATTTCAGGACTGCATTTATTGTCACAAATGCCACAGGACTCTCGAGGCCCACTTCTCAGGCTCACCTGCACAGTGCCTCAGCATCCAGATGTCGGGAATTTCTGTGGTCTATGATGATGATGTCATGGTGTTTGTCCAGGAAACAGGCGAGGGCAGTCTGAGCCTCCTTGGTAACTGTACACATAAACCCTGCTTTTTCACACGCCCTGCAGAATCCATTACACTGGTTATCTTCTTTGGTAAACACTAAAAGTACCTGAATCAAAAAAGCATGAACACTTCTTTTAAAAAAAATAAATAAAAAAGATGCTCTTAGAACTGTCATGTCTTAGAAGCCCACAGAAAACTCCCAAGTGTTTTCAAGGCAAGTACACAGATGTGAGCAGTACAATCTGTTGAGTAAATCTTTTTCCTCCATGTAACTCAGCAACGTTACTGCTCAGCTCCCTGAAACAAGTGCTATTCTAGCTGTTCTGAGTCTGGAAGTCAGAGCACGGGTCAAATGCTTATTTCTTTTGCTAATAAGCCCATTGGAAGAATTCAACAAATACTTAAGTATTTCATCTTCAAATCAAATCAACCAAAACACAAATTTTAGTTAACAGGAAGTTAACTAGGTTAAGTCCTTAGATGACAAATGCCAATATTTCAGTCAAGCTCTTAGAATACTTAATACTTTAAATAATATTTAAAGTATTAAATATTCTGACTCAAGACTTCATAATCCCTCCAAGTTTAAAAAAAAAAATTACTTTGATTGTAAGAAAGGAGATTCAAAGCAGACCAAAACGTGACACTTTCAAACCTGCTCATTTAGTGACACGGGAATAGCTCCAGGTGCAGGAGCCAGCTGGCTGTCCCTGTGCCCGGCCTGGGCAGGTGAGGCCTGCGGCTGCCTCTGCCCTGCGCAGCCAAGTCCCTGTGCCAACCTGGTACAGGCGCGCCGCCCCATCCCCCTTCATACCCAGGCTGACCAGCCTGAGAGGAAGAGGCTGCAAAGCCGACAGAAACCCTGTTCCTGAGGACTGGGTTCCTCTACGCTTACTCGGGTACACAAATACAACAAAAGCAAACAGCACGTTTCCACCAGTGCTTTTCACATATTAAAAATTCTAACAGTTTGTGTACGTGAGGCATCAGGTCACTTTGGAGCTTAATTTCAGTTGGTTATTTTGTTTAAGATTTTGGACTAGAAAATTTGCAGATAGTTTCTCTCTGCTGGAACTGATTCATTATGTTTTTACTCTGTTTTAGAAAATTTCAAACCTACAGGAAGTTATGAATGACACTGAATACTAGTGACCCCCTCTTCTAATTTCATGAATTGGTAACATTTTTACACCTTTGCTCTCTCTCTCTCCACACACACACACCACACACACACACACACACACACACACACACACACAATTATTATTATTTTTTCGCTGAACCTTTTAACTTTTAAAGTAGGTTGCAAGCATTTCTTCATCTGTAAATACAGATGATTCATACAGAATAAATTCATCTATATTTCTAAGAAAAAAACATTCCCTGATATAACTGTAGTACTGCTATCAAGTTCAGGGAATTTAACATGGATCCAATATTTTATCTAAAAAAGATTACTTTCAGTGTATACTTTTAGATCCTTTCCCTCCCCATCTTTACAGACAATTAAATTGAGGATTATAGCACTGTGTATTATTACCTGGAGTTGATCTGGATGAAATCTCATGGGGCCAAATTGCACATCAGCTACTGCTACCTGAAAGAAAAAGATCTGCTTAAAATTAAAAAGAAAAGAAAGATAAACTTGCTTAAATGTTGCTCTCTCTAATCTGTGCCACAGATGAAAGTGAAATTTCTACTCTAGAGAAAAATTACATAAATACTTATTAGATGGAGGGAGCCCAGGTTTCTCCTTATAAACCCCAGGAAAGGTGGAGCGCAGAGAAGGACAAATAAAATGTGTCTGCTCTCGGCTTTTCTTTTTCTAACTGCATGTGACTCTAAGTGAACTGCCCACCTTCAGCCTCAATTCCTCACTTGTTACAGAGATCAACAGGCATATAATATAAAGAGCCCCACAGATTAGACACTGAATGAACACTGGGTCCTTCCATGTCTACTCCCATCTTTCCCCTGACGGAAAATGAACCCTTACATCTAAAATGGCACAAAAATAATGAAATCCAGTAAGCAGAACCACAGGACATCAGAGCCAAAGACACCTTCTCTATACACGATAGTTATCAATTAATGCTTATTGGAAATTCTCTCACTGCTGGAGCCCCTGTTTGACCTCTGGTAGGGGAACTATGATCCCACAAGCCACACAGAGGGGAAAAAAAAAGCTTATCTATTTGAGAACTTAAAACCAACACAGAAAGATAAATACAGTATCATTGGGGACTTCTCTGGTGGTCTGGTGGCTAAGACTCCACGTGGCCAATGCAGGGGGCCCAGGTTCAATCCCTGGTCAGAGAACCAGATTCCGCATGCCGCAAACATAAAAAAGATCCCATGTGCTGCAACTTAGACACAGTACAGCCAAATAAATCAATAATTTTAAAAAATACAATGTCATAACCAAACCCCAACAAGTAATAAGAATCACAGCGCCAATGGGGAGCTCCGCATATGCTGGGTGCTGCACTAAGGGCTGAACATACATTATATCTCACTGCATCTCTGCAACATGCTGAGAGTTCACACTGGGAAACGGAGGTTCCAAGTACTTTGTTTAAGGCCACACAGTAGCTGGGACTGCGCCAACCAGTCTGTTTAGTTCTATAAACTGTGCTGCAAGCCCAGGGCCACTGGAAGGGCTGGAAAGTCTGTGCGCTACAAAAGGAGCACAAGGGAGGGAGATGGAGGCTGAAATCCAGCCCCAAGCCATAAGCCCCGGCCCTGGGCTGCTACCCGGAAGAAGAGACACATTTTTGCAGTTTTTCCAGAAACACTGTGTGTTGGCAGGACTCCTACACTACTTGAGGCCTCTAGGTGATGGTACAATTTCAAACCAAAACCACAGCAGCAGTAGAACTAGATCTGGAAACCTTCTCACAAGATACTTCCTACCTGCCCGCCCAGGTCCCATCTCTCCCCTCAAGCAGTGATCTATCCTACAGTAAATCCATGTAACAAAACCTGCAGAGTGACGGAGGACATCTGTGTCTATTTCTAACTGTGAGAAGCCAATATCTACTAATTATGGGACAAAGGCTCAATTTCCTTGCTTTGTAGGGACCTCATCTCTCAGAAGGTGTAAGGATGAGGGTCATTGCCCTCTAGACCCGAGACTGAGGACGGATCTCTGCAGTGTGAAGGAAGGGTGAGCACGGACAGGCTATGGCACCGTCTTTCCTCCGGACCTGGGTGGCCACAGGCCAGCCTCATCAGGAGCCACAGATGGATACTGAAGCCAGAATTTCTGAGAGATGATGATCCAGGAGGCCCCAAGAGAGTCGAGAGAGAGAGAGAGAGAGAGAGAGAGAGAGAGGCACTCTGTACAGTCACTCTCACAATGCAGTAGGAAGGAAGGCAAGAGGCACCAAGAGTGACCAAGAACAATGAGGTTTTTGTTGTTTTTTGTGAACAAAGTTCAAAGAAATGAATGAAATCAAAGAACAAGAAATGATAGAAGCCTACTGCTTGAAGAAGACAGTGAAGCCACTGAGGAAGAAGGAAGAAAATGACAGCAAAAAGAAGGAAAATTCATTTTGCTAATTTTCTACAGTATTGAGAGGTGGAGTTTCATGAAAGAAAAGAGGAAACAGTCAACAGGAAGGCTGTGCCACTGCCTAGGATAAAGCAGCTGCAATATTTGGGTCCTCTATGTGAACCACAGGCTGCAGCCTCTTACAAAGGATGCTCATGACATTTGCTATGAAGGATCAAGGAGATGAAAACCTTAAAACATATTCCTAAAAGCAAAACTTGTATAGTTTTTATTTCCAACCATAAAGCAAGAAAACCAAAATTAAAAACATAAGAAAGAACCCCTCCCTGGAAATTTTAAAAATATAACTCATGTAATTGCTGGATCAGAGAGGGGAATGCAAACTCTACCTATAGATTACTTGGAAAATAATAAAAATGAGAATATAATGTAACGAGGCCTACAGGATACTAGAAAATTTTACTCAGAGGCAAAACTTAGTCTTAGATCTTTCTGTCATGAAACAAGAATTAAGTCAATATACTAAGCTTCCAATTCACTAAATATGAGAAAATCAATAGTTTCAACTTAAGGAAATGGGGAAGAGAACAATAAGTTAAAGGCAATAATTAGTAAAACTTTAAAATGTTAATGACTAGTTTGATTTAAAAAAAATACATATACATTTGTATATAGTGTTGGTCCCAAGCTGAAGGACAAGATAAAAATATGGACAGCTAAGGGCAAAAGTCCCACTCCTCCTGGGAAAACAATCCTGAGGACATGGTCTTCACCAAAAGTGGATGAAGCAACTTTTACAAAGGACAATGTAACTTTATGATCTCAACTTATAAAAATAACTCACCATTGCATTAATTCTAAGAAAGAAAAGAAGTTCCAGATTGTCTTTAAAGATCTTGGATTCCACCTCAATATAATTTTAGCAGTGTCATTTCAAACATTAATGTCTCAGCAATTCTATTTTGTCATGAACACTGACTGTATTTATTTAACTTGACTGCATTCTAACCTTACATCCTGTCTACAGGGTACGTCCGGCTCTCAGGACCTCTGTTGAGCAGTGTCCCGGCAGGGCCAGACAGCTACTTACCACTGCCCCCCCAAAATAACCACCACCAGGAAATCTGATGACATTACTCAGCGAGCAGACGTCAGCAGCTGGTCCTCAGAGAGTAAACAACTTCCCAAGCGCTCTGGATAAGGGGATCGGAATGACTAGAATTGGTGGATCCATTCTTTCTTTGTGTATCAAAATCAGAATCAAACTGATCTAATACTTCAGACTACAGCCCTCTTAATAATTATTTATTTTTCACATTAATTTTAGAAGGGAATAGTCATTTTCAATTTTAATAACACAGCTATCAGCTTCAAAAGCAATAGATACTTTTAGGTAATATAAAAACAACAGTATATTTGTGCTCGCTTCAGCGGCACATATGCTAAAATTGGAACGATACAGAGAAGATTAGCATGGCCCCTGCGCAAGGATGACACGCAAATTCGTGAAGCGTTCCATATTAAAAAAAAAACAAAAACAGTATATTTATGGGCTTATATTAGTAATTATACAAGGGGCTGAGTTAGTCTTTCGGGTTTTTTAATATTTATATGTTTGTTAAGAGTTATTGCTAAATTGGGATCTTAGATTAGGATGATGTTTGTACTTTAATAGTTTAAAGTAATTTTTTGTTAATATGACTCATGGAAGTCTAAAATAAATTATTATTAGACACCTTGATGAACCACCTTTCAGTAGTTCTTTTGTTTGCCTAACTGACCTAACAGGGCAAACATGACACTGCAGGGCCAAGTTACCATGTTATGAATCTTGATCACAGTGAGGGAGGACAGGAAAGAGATATATAATTCCATCCTGTCTAAATATTCTACTCCCCTGACCCTCCCTGTCCCTTGCCTGCTTTTTTTTTTTCCTGTAGCTTTAGTCCCCATTTCCCACACTACATATTTTGTTATCTTATTAAAAGAGTGTCTCAAGATTTATCTGCCTTATTCATTACTAAATTTCCAGTACCCAAAACAGTGCCTGGCACATGGCAGGCAGTCAAAAAATATTTCTGAATCAATGTTTACTCAACAGCTAATCTTTTTTAACCAATCATTTATCTAAAAATCATATTCATACAAGCTTATACATAACACAGGTATATAACAGCACTTCCAGGTTTCAGAGTATTTTCACTTATTAATGGAACACAAACAAAGGGAGGAACCTTCAGAAAAGCCTGAACACCAGGAATCACAGAAGAATCATGTGATCTATCTTTTTACTATATCCCCTTATTAGAAACAGATAGTTATACTGGGATCAATTTATATTAATTGTTTACAAACCCAGGAACTACAGTAAAGATGTAAATCAGATTTTGTCTTCAGCATGTCCATCCCCTCCAGGCTTCCCTGTGCAGCCAGTGGCTGTCTTGTCTGCCTTTCCCAGCACAGTGCTAACTTCATCAAAGGGGCACAGCCTGGGAAAGAGTCAGGTGTGTTCTTAGATGGGAAGAGTCAAAATTAGTTCAGACACTTGTGGACCACAAGCCACGCAGACAGCCAGGTACTAGGAGTGCAAAGACCAAATCCCCACCCTGTCCTTGAGTGGTAGCAGGGGAATACGTAAATGATGACAATGTGGTGCAGGTTTAAAAGAGAAAGAAGGTGTCTAGTGTGTGTGAAATACTTCACTTCTGATCATATTTAAATCCAACTTAGTCCCTACCCTATGAATAAGATAAGCTCATTAACTCCATTTTATTGATGACAAAACTAAAGCTTCCCTGGAGAAGGAAATGGCAACCCATTCCAGTATTCTTGCCTGGAAAATCCCATGGACAGAGGAGCCTGGAGGGCTACAGTCCATTGGGTAGCAAAGAGTCAGACATGACTGAGCCACCACCACCAAACTGAAGCTTAGAGCAGTATGGTTAAAGCACTGGTAACAGGCAATGGTGGCAACTGGGTCCAATTCTTGGAAACTTAATTCTCATGGTCTTTTCATGATCTACTGGGAAAGACATCTGACCGTAACCTGTATCTAACTGAAACAAGACAAGAACCTGGAAAGC